TGTCCTTGCTTGGAAAAATCAGCTCAAGGTCAGGGAAATACTTTGAACTCCACACAGTCTGCACATCCCTCGGGATAAAGCTGAGGCTTGACTCTTGCTTGTATCGCTAACTAGGAGCTCAGTAAGTGTCAATTTGTTGCAGGATCTTGTGGAATGACACTGGATAAAATTTTGTGGGAGAACTTGTTGCCTCAATTTTACTATTATTTTTCACTATAAGCCATTTACAGCATGTACCTGAACTGCTGTCGTTCATCTATGCTAACATCAAATCTAGAAACAGGTCATCACTATATGCTCCTCTGTTTCCACACTGATCATTAACAGAGCCTGGTATTTGGAACAGTAATCAAACACTAACTTGAGGCAAGATGGATCTTTCTAGTTTGAAAAAAAAAAAAAAAGAAAAAAGAAAAAGAAAAAGCTTGCTTCTGACACTTCAGCTTCCTCATTTGGTCTTCAACCTCATGAATGCCACCACACGTATTTCCCTCTAACCAAGGACTTCTGACACTCCCTGCTAATACACATGAAAGATGGCTGCTCCTGCTGTTCACCATGTTGGTAACAGGTGAAAAATGGTCATAATTTCATTTACTCATACAAGAGAGTTTCAAATTTCTAACTTCTCTTTCTAATCGAGCTCTGATCTGAAGTGGTCCATTTTGCACCTTTGTAGTCATAGGCAGGAGAACAGACAATAAGAGAAAAAAGAGAGTTGATTTTATCCAGGAATGAAATGCAAACTTAATTTCTCCACAGCTCTCGTTCTGCACTCCTGAATATCACAGGCCAAACAGAAGAGCATAACTTGTTAATAATAACTCTGCTCTCCAAGAATCCTTTATCTACCTGTGCAAATGAAAGGTACTCAATGCACTCGGGGCAACCTACAGAGCAACACAGCTCTCCCTACAGCAGACTCCTGGTGACTAGTCAGATGAATTGCTCCCTACCATTAGATTATTTTTCCCTGTAGGTGGAAAGCCAATAGTCACTTCACATTTTATTAGCTGAGAAAAAGGAGCACACTTATTTGCAGTGTGTTTCTCTGGTGTCATAAAGGTCCTCAGCACAGCAGCAGTCCAAAATATTTAAGTGTAGCTAGCTGTGTTCACCTATTTAAGTTTCTCTTCAGCAAATAAATGGAAGACATGGTTATGATTACTTTTATGAGAGTAACCAGTGCTGTACCTCTAAGTGAGCTATTTTTTGTATTATATTAATTACATTTTACGTAAGTACATTACTAAATGATACACTGTGAATTGGAAGTCAATTTAAAGTTTCATTGTTTTCATATTCAGTGAGAAAATCATGGATTTTCAGATCAAGAGCTAGCAGAGCCTATTGGTATCACATACTAAACTATTCTAATAGTAAAGGTATTGATCTGAAATCCTGAAACTTTTCTTCTTTAAAGTGAGCTACAGGATCATAAAAATGAAGAATAAAATAAAACTTAAGAATGATATGTAGTGTGTTTATACTGAACTGGAAGACACCACAGGAACATCCTAAAAGTAAAACTATTGAAGCTTTCAGATGTAGGGCAGCAATTCAATCTCAAGTCAACGGTCTGGTCACACACTCCACAAAAGTATCCATCAGAATAGCTTTTAGTCTCAGTAAGATGGTGCCCACTCCCCTTTCTTGGATCCGCTTTACATACTTGGGATTGAGCCCTACCATTCTCTCACTTTGGAAGCAGGACTGCCACAGACATTAAAGATTTCGCACCCTACTGGTCCTACCAAGAGCTGAGCATCTGTTTTTTTTTCTTTCTTAAAAACTGTACTTGGTGATGAAGTAGGCAATGCCTTTTTTAAAGCAAAACTTTTTAATTTTACAGATGAAACAAAGCCACCACGGAAAAAATATTTTAAAGAAATTTATAAAATATTAAGTGCCTGTTTAGTTTCATTTAACCAACTAAATTAAACAAACACTATCAAAATTAAATTAGAGTTCTTAAACTACATGAATACACAGAAAATCATGATTTATTCTGGTCTCACTTCGCTTATTAGAACATCACTTTTAGACAATTCAGGGAAACCAGGTTTTGAAACAAATGAAAACCTACTACATTCTCCCTTTGCATAGTAACTATCATACGGAGTCTTAAACAGGAATTTGTTTCATTTCCAGTCTCTTTTTTGTTTCACCTACAATTTCTCCAGAAAGCTGGCCTGGACATCTAGGATATTTGGACAACTAGGAGAATATATCTACAGTATTTTCTTCACTGCTTTGCAGTTAGAATCCTTTAGCTAAACAACCTGTAATAACTAGCCTAGAGACCACTTCCTCTGAACATTTTATGCTTCCCTCTGAAACTTCACATTGCGTTTAACAAACCACTTCTAAGATATAGATGAATGTATCTGTCACTACCAATCTCCATAGTATTTGTCACAGTGTCTGAGCACAAAGTAATTAAGTGTGAAGGGAGCACTTCAGCTCATTTCTGTGTTCCAGAGAACCCTGTTAAAGTGCTATAATGCAAACTGCTCTGATATTATAGGGAGGATGTATATAAATCCTGAAGATGATATCACGTCACATATAGCAATGCTTCACAGCAGAGTTGATAAAGATTTATCTAACAGAGGTAAGCTAGCATCAAAACTGAAAACGGTATCATCACGTTAGGCAGAAGCAGTTTGATGTTACATGGCTAAACTACTGTCTGTATGAGACAGACTAGCAGCACCACAACATATTCTATTGCGGCATGCCAGTGTTGCAGCCTGAACACAGCATCAGCTTGTGTCTCCGTATTATTGTTTTTCAGAACATACACGCTGAATGACCGCTTGGTAAAACTGGCGTAACAGTAATCCTTTACCTCTCATTCCTGTCCTTTCCTTTACAATGCTTGCTTTCTGGAGCAGCATTTCCAGCCATAAGTCTATGTACATTGTCTAATCTGGCATGGATGTGACTGAGGTTAGTAAGGTACATAAAACTGCCACACAAACTTACAAGATGTAACATGCAAAGTGAGTCGGACTCCCCTACCAAGGTGACATTTAAAAGGGATTTAAACATCTTTAGTCTTGCTGGGCATTAGCATTACAGGAAATACCGATTCTGCTCTTCCCTTAGCATAAAATTGAAAATATCTAATTAAAAAAAGTAGAAGCTCTCACTAACAGGTAGTCGAAATACATTTATAACCACTTCTGAAGATCTGATCACTGCCCAGTTACATTCACAGCTTAGATATTGAAGAAAGTTTGACCACACACCTCCAGCAGACCATCTCAAAAGCCATTCATTCCTGCGCAGAATACTTAGAACCTTGTTTTTGCATTTTACAATGACAATGTGGCAATTTTTAATTTTGCTTCCTATGAAGGGAGTTTGTAACTTTTTTACTAGGCTAGACATAATGTAGATTGTTTTGCTTTATTTCACTTCTAGGTCATACTGTCTGGTGCATACAGAGCTCCTCATGTCAAGCTTCAGAAAAATTACGTGCTGTACAGAAACAAGCTAGTCCCCTTTTTTTACTTTCTGAATTTCAAGCTTATGCACAGCCTTTTGTGTGCTACCTTGGAAACTAACTCTAAACTACTCTGCTACAAGTCTACAAAACTCCAGCAACTTACTTATGTTCATATAATGTGTAGAATTCAAAGTGTGCAATTCCCAAAGCATAGTCATAATGATTATTGAAAGTTATTATGGTACTCTCTTTCTAGCAGTTAATAGGCACTAATTTACTAAAACATGCTAATGCAATCACAGGCAATCATCTGACCATAGCCCTCTTCTTACAAGGTAAGCTCTTTGCAGAAAGGATTTTGTTTGCCTGCAGAGCACATGGTAGACAGGCATATCAGAATGCTGGATGCTGAGGATAGATTTGGGTTCCTTAGTAAGACAACAACACAAGGTAATTAAAGGTAATAATTATCTGGAAAATTGAAAACAAATAAACATGAAACCTCACGTATCTATGCTCACTTTGGACCCCAAGTTCTAAGATACAGATTTTACTGCAGAAAAGCTTATTTCTATTTATTTATCGTATGTGTATCCTATATTTATACTATCATATATATATATATATTTATGAAGCCTTAAGGAATAGTTTAGAGAGACAGTGCTCAGAAAAGTGCAGTTTGGGAGAAGTACAGTAAGCAGCAGACATTGACATCTCTGGCTGAGTAGCAAAGAAAAGGAAAAACACAGGAGAGCAGAAACCTTCACTCTGTTCACTGGGCATTCCTTCTGTAAAATTTAATATCCAGCCGAAAAACTACAGCTGCAATTTGTTCGGAGCTAAGCAAGTTTTGAGCATCAAGGTCCATGTCCTTGTACAGCTAGTATTTACATCTTCCATCTTAATTTTTAAAAGAGCAACATTGTCGCCTAGTGAGACATCCTATTTTCTTTGGCTTTGGTGACTAGTATTTTTCCTGCAGAAAGGATTTCCACATCCGCCCCCCAATGATGCAGTTAATTCAATCATAGCTGTTCACCACAGAAAAAAAGAACTGAATATCCTCTGGATTAAAGAAACAGACTTTTGTTTATCCATAAGTCTGCTTTCCCATTTTATTTTTTTCTCGTTTTCTCCCTTTCCTTTCTATCATGAAAGATTTCTTCAATAATTCAACTTTACATTATTTTCTGAATTCCACGTACATTTCAGCATCTCTAGCTGGACTACATTCAGTGGTACAATACCCCAATTCAACAAAGTATGACAAAAGTTCACATAAATTCATGCATAAACAATGATTAAATCTTACTGTGTTCCCTTCTACAAGATTCTCTGTTGCCTCAGAGTAAGAACCTAGCAAATCAGGGCCTCATGTTGGCTCCTTTTTAAGTACAGAATTTTACAGTATATGCACTTAAAAATCCATCAAACAAGAAACAACAACAAAAAAATCAGGTTACAGTCCTACACTAGGATTTTGAAGCTCAAAATGGGAAGAGAACTTACATGGCTTACACCATGTTTTTACTATTCATTTGCTTACAGTGTTAGTTGAGTTTCCATTTAAATGTAAGCCACTGTCAAAGAGAGGTGATGAAGCTCCACTGCTGTGATCACTGGATGGTCCAGGGGAACCTGGAAATTAAATCATGAAAAAGAATTGCTTATGTTAAAAATATATGTCTATATCAGGCAAGATCTATTCCAGATATAAATCACAGAAAGAATTTTTAATATAAATCACCAAAACAAGCCAGAAGTACTACTTGCATTTTAGAATGACAGCCAATGAAATGCTTCTGACCATACGCTACACTTTATGTCTGGAAAGAAAAAATTAGCTCAATGTTATTTTATAGAGGCTGTGCTCACGGGAACTACTTGTGTGCATGACTGATGTATACTGTTTGCAGCATTAAGCCTTTTTTCACTAAGAATGAGACATTCAGAACCAAGTAAGAAATTCAGTTACACAAATCCCATTAATTTAATCAATAAATTTTCTAGTGACTGTTGAAAGTCTCACCTTAGAGTATAACTACGGACTGTACAAATAAAGCTAATAAGAAACTCCCAGGCAAGTACTAACTGTACACATAATACACTTTATTAATGGATATATCTTTTTCTTAAAATGCCAGTTACTTTCAAGAAAGATGCAGCTTCTCAAACCGAGAAACTAAAAGCAAACAGTCATCTTGAAATGTTGATACTATGTTAATATGTTAAGATTAAACAGTTATATTCTTCAAGGTATCTCTTCCACCTGCAGTTATGCATCATGATCCTGCTTTAGTAGTTAAAGTGACTCCAGGAAAGCTTACTACGTTTTTAACATACAATAATGTAAACAGCACAAAGTCACATCATTGTGCAATTTTTGCTCAAATATAAAAATGTTGCCATGCAACACCAATAACATACAATTACTGTCAGGTAACATTTGGTCTTACCAATAAAGAACTTAAAATCAATTTCACAGCATTATATTCATCATCACTGAAAACTCATTTTCCCATCTGAAGAAATCACCTGAAGTTGCCTGTAAATCATTTCACATTACTAGGTCTGTTGAGTCTAACATCACAAAGTCAAAAAGTCATGTATTTTTGTGTGCAAGTATTCCACATACCTGAAAGATATAGCAAAATGGAATTTAACTCAAAAAAACTCATTTTTTCCATAACAAATCTCTGTCAGTTCAGTGCTCTGAGTGAGGTCGCAGAATTATACCTTGAATTCTGAAGTATCAGCATGTTTTCATTTGGAGTTCTTTCTGTACAGTGTTAAATGATGTCAGCAAAGGAACTGTTCTGCTTTGCTTGTATGTGTCTAACCCAAGTGCCAACTTTAGCCGATAGCTACTACGTTTTGTAGCTACTATCTACGTACAGTAGACCACAAAATCTATGTTCAGACTCATAGATGATCACAGTGACTTGCTGGAACAGAAGATAATTTCTACTTTTTTATATTAAAACAATGAAATAAAAAAGTTGGCATTAAATTCTCCACTGAAGAGTGTGTCTGTTGGGGAATCCCCCTGTCTCCAGCAGTAGACAACTACGACAGGTCCATGGGTCAATTAGATACTTAAAGTGGAAATATCCCACCTCTTCAGCAATTTGAGTGTAGCAAAAGACATGAATCCTTGGTATTATCAAATCTCTAAATCCAGGCTTTACCATAATACAAAATATTACATTAGATTTATTTTTTTTTTTTTTAAGTAGAGAAAACTGACATCCATTGCTTGGGAAAGCTAAGAATAAAAGGTTAAGAAACAAATTTTTCTCCTCCCACAGAGTCCTTGCAGACTTTCTTTTCAGTTCAGCAGCTTTCTTTTATTTTCTGAGTCACAACAAGCTACACAGCCTCCCTCAGGCTCTGTCACCTCCACCACTTGATTGCAAGCCAGTTCACAAGACTTTTAGTTTGCTCCCTGCCTATTCTACCTCACTAATGGACTACTCCTTCATGGCCTTCTTCAGCATTTTAGAAGTTCCCCGGGTATATGCTCAACTGCTTTCATGGAAGGTGCAGTGCTCTTGTCTCTCCAAGGAGCTCCGTTTGCCTCCCCACATGGCAGCCCTAGAGCAATCGGGTAGTCTTTCCTCCCTGTTCTTAGAACAAAAGACAGTATGTACACACGCATGATATACATGACACAAAATACACTAACACAAAGTCAATCTTGAACAATCTGCTACTGTAGCCCTTGCTCAAGTAGAAGAGACTCCGAATGAAGTGTTAGGTACCAGTCCAAACTCTGGAACATTAGTTCCAGAAAGTGTTTATGCAAAATAAAACATCTGCTACAGGTAGCTCCCTCCTCCATGGCTACAATACAGTATCCTGATGGGCACTGATGCCAGAAAAATGGTATTTGTTACGTTGTGAGATTTCCAGCTATCATTATTGCCTAGCTCTCCTCTTAGCCCACGCAAATCACAGCTAGACAGCCAGCCTATGAGAAATGCAAACCTACACGATGATAGGCTTCATCCTATTAGTTTGCTGATTCTCAGCTGTGGCATTTTGTTCTTTTGAGAAGGCTGGGTCAGGAAAAATCCTGTGGGCAAGGAGATCTTTGCCTGATCTTTACCTAAGCAATAGCTGAGTGTGCTCAGTGAAAAATAAAACTTTCCCTGTAAGGTGAGAAGGAGTCAGAGAGAGAGAGCGAGCACAAGGACATAGGAGTCTGCAGTTCACAAAAGAGACGCCCTTGGGAGTAGCAGGAAAAAGGCAGAACTCCAAGGTGAGGGAAAGAAACTCTGCAAGGATCACAGCGGATTCTGCAGAGCTAGCAGGAACTCAGGAAATCACCAAGGCAGCTGACACTAAACCTAAAGCATGAACTCATTTGCAGTGGTACAGGCAGGACCTGTTTACAAGTCCTTTCATATTCCTTTTGACAGAATCACTGAGATTTGTCATTTTAAAAAGTTAGGTATTCTACTACTTACTTTAATAAAGCCTGGATTTTATTTTTAACTTTAAAAGCCTTAAACTTTCTAGAACCTAGAAGGGTCTCTGTTCAAGTTCTGGTTAACTCAGAGTCCCATCAATAGATGTCTGCTTATTTCAGTCAGCGAATTACACTAGATCTCTAAATAACAAACAAAACCCCCAAAACGCAGGACAGCAGATTAATGTACAGCAAGCAGTCAGCAAGACTTTATCCTTTACAGCAATTTGTCTTATAACCAGCACTGCTCAATGACACTGGAGACCTCTTGTATATAAATAAAATCTCATTTATCTAACTTGCAAATTATGTCACAGACAACCTCCAACAGACAAAAAAGCCTATTTCAGAACAAGCAGAAAATTAAAATCAAAGGAAACACTCTTAGTTATCATTAATTACACTGCAAGATATACAACTTCAAAGTATTCTAATAATTTGTTATAACTATCTAAAAGAAAAATTCTGAAGAAAGTCTGTTTTACCGTAAAATATTCTGAAAAGTCTTCCAGGCAGCAGTAAATCTTATCTAAAAGGGTCCTACAAGCCCTGCTCAACTCTGGGATGGGTAATGGACTTAGATCCAGAGAATCCTTAATGTCAATACCCAAGAACTGATGCCATAATTATTCTGTAACAGGAGAACAAATAACAACTAATAACTTCCTGACCCAGTGCCAGAAAACAAAATTCCTTCCTTTGGTTTCCAGAAACACAAATCCATCCTCTCTTTAGCTGACAGTGTAACTTAGAGCAAACCACAGGTCATGGGATGAGGAATTGCCCTAGCCATGGAGCCAGACAACCCAATGAAGCAGACAGTTAATGATGCTAATGGCTCATGCTAACTTCTGATCCAGGCCTGACAGTTTTTTGAGAAAGAAGTATTTGCTCTATGCAAAATTATGCCAAGCATTCTGCAATATTTTACAAAATTACTGATCAATTCCTGTGGCAGAGAATATTTGCTGCCATAATTTACTATTACGGACAGTCTCGTAATAGCCTAGAAAGGGCCAAGAGTCGCAGGCAGCTGTGAAAGAGACAACGACCAATACTGGATGCCACCCTGGGTTAGGGCCTCCTCCAAACACAGAAATAAGTAGTCCTTGTCTCATCCTTAAGTGCCAGTTAATCAGTATCCATGTCCAAACCCATGCCAAATCCTGTGTTTGTGTCCACAATTATGAAAGACTGAAGCAACCAGAAAAAATGTGGTGAGAACTGCAGGCAGATATTTCCCTGTTATGACACCTTGTGCTTTTGCTAGCCATGGCATGAGACAGTGAAGGGAAGGAAGAGGTATGAGAAGGAAGCAGCGGAGGCAGATGCTACTCCTGATGATATACTTCTAAGAAATAGTAATCATATTGGTTAATAGGAAGAGAGAGTATGGTTGCATTTGAAGCGAACACACCGCAGTACTAAAACTGCCAGCATAGCAGCTGGTCTGACTGAATGCTTGAGGGTAGGGGAACATGTGCCTGAGTCTTCAGGGATGGTAGCAAAGGCCAAGATCCTCCAGATTTACATGTGTATGCACTTAAGTCTTGCCGACAGTGTGAGCTGGGAAGTACTTTATTGCATAGTAGAATTGCTACTTAGCTTGTTATATGTGTCACTGGTGCTTCATGACTGGAATTCCCTTCTGTGCATGGGCTTGTGAAAAGCTCATCTTGAACTGGGGTGCTTTGTCCCACCATTGCTATTCTCCTTAACTTCAATATATGGCCCTAAACCAGAACTGTTTTCCATAATTTTCCACACCTTATTTGCTTATTTCCTCACCACATGAATGAGTATTTATGTCAAGTCACTCATCAAAGATCATCTTGATCACTGAGCCTGGTTTCAGCCTGTATTGGATGGCCACACAGAACATCCTGGAGAAAAGCAGGTGAGCTCTGTGCTGAGGCCCAGATTCAGTTCAGAAGAAGGGTTATTTCTTAAATTCCTCAGGTGTCTGATCATACTCAGCAGGTCCTTTTATTGAGCATGTGGTACAGGACTGGAGGTGTGAGATCATGCATGGGACTGGGCCAGGTAGTATAATGCTTGCCAAAGATTTCCTCGTGCTCTGCGTAAAGCAGGCAAGTCTAATCAGCTACCCAAAACGAGCAGTTTGTACCCAAGATGTCTCTTTCATTTAAGAAGCATTGCTTCTCTGCTGTGCTTGTTGACAGTCTGTGACAGCTTGTCTAAAATGGCACTGTCTTCCCTATTTCAAACAGTAATCACGGGCAGACTCCAAATGGTGCTAGCTGGCCACAGGTCACGAGACAGGCCCTTTGAAAGAGAATGGAGGTCTTTGCTAAGGTGAAAGTTTCTGGTTTGAGTGTTCATGGAGGCTATTTACCTACAGAAGTTTTGCATGCACCTCCGGCCACATTGAGATAGAAGATGGTCTGCTCTTCCTGCTAATCACTGCTTTCCTTTTTCAGAAATAGCACTTTATGGAAGTAGCACCATAATCAGCCTCCCAGAAAGGAATGGCTGCAGTGCCTCCTGGAGAGAAAGGCAATCCAGGAGACAGCTAAGTTCCTCTTCTCTGCCATGATGTACCAAGAGGGCACCAATATTCCTGGACTTGCGTGAACTCCTTGTGAAAGTGGCAGCTGTCTCACAGAGTGTGTACTGTGTTTAAGTAGCAATGGGGCAAGGTGGCTCCAGGGGTGGGAGATGGTCAGGGGCTGCCCTGTGCTGGACATAGCTGGTTCCAGCCAGCTCCAGCAAACCCACTGCAGGGCACAGCTGAGCCCCTCAGCCAAGCTAGTAGCACCTCTGGGAAACAGTTTAAGAAAGGGCAAAATGTTGAACAGCAGAGATAGGAGTGAGGAAAAAAGTGTGAGAAAAAAATCATACAAACCTCAAGGTCAGTGGAGAAGGAGAGGGAAGAGGAGCTCCAGATGCTGGAGCAGAGATTCCCCTGCAAGTCCATGGAGAGACCATGGCGATGCACGTATCTCCCTGCAGCCCATGGAGGACCACGTTGGAGCAGATACTCACACTTCAGCCCCATGCTGGAGCAGGTGGATGTGCCATGAAGGAATCTGCAGCCTGTGGGGGACACATGTTGGAGCAGATATTTCCTGAAGGACTTCAGTCCATTGAGAGGACCCATGCTAGAGCAGTTTGTAAAGGACTGCAGCCAGTGGGAAGGACCCAAGCTGGAGAAGGGTAAAAAGCTCGAGGAGGAAGGAGTGGCTGAGGGGAATGCTGTGTACTGACTCCAAATCCTCATTCCCCGTCCCACTTGCAGGGGAGGCAGAGGAGTCAGGAACGAAGCTGAGCCTCAGAAAAAGGGGGGGGAGGGGAAAAGGTGATGTTTCAATTCATTTGTCTTTGTTTTTCATTGCCTGAATCTATTTTAATAGGCAACACATGTAATTAAGATTCCCCAAGTTTGTTTTGCCCATGACTGTAATTAATAAGTGATTTCCCTGTCTTTATCTTGACCTAAGAGCCTTTTCATTCTATTTTATCCCTATGTTCTGTTTGAAAAAGGGGAGTGAAAGAGCGGCTGGGTAGGAGTTTGGCTCTTAGCTAAGGTTAGCCGATCACAAGCGATAAGAGTCCAAGTGTGTATGTGATGACAGTCAAGAAGTTGAGATAAAGTTGCTTGTAGGATTGTGATAACCCCAAATGAATATGGCCAACAACACAGAAACTACTGGTAAAACCCTGCTAGCTTGCCAAATCATGTCTAACTTTGGACACAGATGTCCAAGGTATTACAGATATTAGTCTACAGTCATCAGATGACCCAGGATAGAGAAGTACGAAGACAAAACCTGAAGTTTCATTATAAGGAACACTGACCAGACAAAGATCTCCAAATGTAAACATAAGATTTCTTTAAATATAGATTCCATTTTCAAATGGAAATGATACACAGTAAGAACTGAAATAATGGGTTTAGTATAAGATGTATAGTTTAGCTTAGTAGAGGCCCATCAAGCTTGCTTTTAATAGGTGTAAGAATCTAGATGAAATGACAGATACTTTTCTAATGACAAGAACTAGACCTATGAGACCTACGATTCTGCTGAAATCAAGAAAAAACAAGTACATAGTTGAGACCAACTTACATAAATCCCCCAAACAAGAAACATTTTAAATTTACTTAATTTGGAGAGAGAATCATGTAAGATAAAGTGGTGCAAAATTATTTTATCTGTTAGTTGATATATTATGTGCACTTTTCTAGTTGCAACATCAATTTTGAGTATCTTGAATATTTACATTTTCTAATCAGAAGAATCAAAAATTTCCCTCATGTGCATTGTTCGTAAACAATTTACTATTGTTACTCTTAAACTGCTCAGCTGTCACACTGTAATTCTGCTCTCTGACAAAAATGATCAAAATAACAAAGTAATTTATGAAATATGCACAATTCATGTTATCCACTTGTTTGGTGTCCTGAAAATACCTTTCAGTGTGAGTGTATGATTCAAATGTTTCTAAACACTGTTTTATTGTATTCAGGCAAAGCTTCTGTAAAAAAAATTTTCAGATGTCACCCATGATTGTACTGTATTTTAATGAGGTTTTCAGTTTTATTTTGAATAAACTATACAGAAGCAGTCATGCAGTATGCATTAGATTCTTATACATTAAGCATTAAAGTACACACATAATTTTCTATTTCTTCCTGTAAAACACTGAAGGATTGAATTCCTATTTCTGTCATTGTCATCTTATTATAAGAATACTGCAAAGAGGAAAACAATTTACTCCTATCCATTAATTTCCTCTTACCTAATGGGAGCTTTAAAAATGATGGAGCTTCCCTGAGGTACTGAACAGTGATGGTAACTTCATCGCCAGCATTTCGCAGTAGGTGCACCTGTCAGTGTGACAAATAACAGCTACTTTAAATGAAAGAACCACCAGTCATGGAAAGCACATTACTTACAATGAAATCAACATCTCTGCTGATCTATAATAAACTCAATATAAGCATTTCTAACTGTGAATGAAGAATACTTTGAGGGTCAAGCTACACCAAAAATGGGTAAGAGTAGGCAAGACCAATGGAACCACCTGAATAAATAATATGGTGGGCAACCTGAAGCTGAACACAACTTCTACAAACAAACTGATTTTATAAAACTGCCATAGGCTAGTAGGAAAACGTGTTTATGTAGACATAATACATTAATTGTGTGTGTATAGACATAAACAGACACATAAATATATATTAATACACCATACATATGTAGATCTTCAGTATTTGCTTTGATTCAGTTAGGTGATGCACTAAGTACATTTCTCTCTTTCAAACATAGTCTTAATTTTTGTGACTGTCTTCATCATCTGTAAGTATTTGGTAACCAGAAGGGAACACATACACACCACATATGTGTATAGATAGACACATGTATTAAGATATCAGAATTTAATTAAATACACAGTAAACCACTGCACAACAGGCTTTTTTAAATGCAGAACTTCAAATACTGTCTTTGATGGAACTCAGTTCCTATTACAGGGCAGAGGGATTCCCCAGTTTCATATCCATGACACTCAGGAAACAGGTACTGCGTTGCGTTTGTATGTCGCCTGCACGCAAGGTCTGCAGCCCTGATCCCGCCTGTCGGAAATGGATGCTAACGCCTGTGGCCTCTAATCTGAGCACAACCAGAGCGCGCATGTATCAAGCAGAAAAGTAACTAACTGCAGCAAACTAACTCCTGCAGATGTATTCCCTGGTCTGATGTAGTACTTGGAGGAAGCTGGTGCTTGCGTTGCTTCAGACCACCATTTTAGCACAGTGCCACATTGGTCAATATCATGAGCTGCAGGATTACCTCAAACATTAGAACTCTTCCTCTTGTGCACCTGAAATAATGCATACACCAGCTTGCACCCTCGTGAAAGCAGCAAGCTTATGCCTGATGGATATGAAAACCCAGAACATGAGAAGAAATCAAGTAAGCAGTCACAGAGGCTATGAATTTTAGGCTATAAAAATGTTCTGGAAAAGAGCGAGCAAGAGAATTGACCACAAAACCCTGAACACTAACACTGAAGAAAACATTGTCTGGACAGGGACGTGTTCTGATTTCGTTGATTAAATGAGCAGACACATGAATCACTCATATAAAGTACTGTTGCTGAAAACTTACTGTTTGCTGTACCTGTAAAATCCATATATTTAATAAACTTACAATGTCTGCCTTCAACCTCCCCACCCATCTTTCAGTCCATGAAACAATGACTTCCATCGCTAACAACCTGCAGTATCACTAGTGGCCACAGACCAGTCTCTGGGAGGGAATGATAGCGTTCTGCACTCATCAGGTTAGGAAATCCAGATGTACAGGGGAGAAACAAGAGCTCAGCAAGGTCAGAAAAAGCACATAACAGGGACAGGGAGTCCAACCAGATGAGAAAGCTTGAGGAAGGAGGGTCCAGAAGCAAAAGGACAGGAGATGCATAAGAGAAAGACGTTAAAAAAGAAAAAAAAAAAAAAGAAAAAAGAACAAGAGAAGTGACTGCAGCTTAAGCAAGTTTCCCAGAAAGGACCTGCATTTCCTTTCAAGTTCTTCCTTCCTAAGGAACAGAATCCTCCCTCTCCCAGGCCCCCATTTCTCCGCTCTTCTTGTTCTCTACTCCAGTATTTTTACTTTTTTTTTCACAGGCTCAATCCACTTTTAAATGATTTACTATCAAAAATAGAACAGCTAGTGCTACTTACTCACCCCCAGTACTTTGATATGAGGTATTCTACTCACGTCAAAGATTTTGTAGATAATTGACTACAGGACAACCTGAAGTCTCATTGCGGAAAAAAACAAAGTGGAAAAAAACATTATGATCATTGATTTCTGACTAAACCCTCTCAGGATGATCATGGTAGGAATAACCAGGAAGTACAGCAAAATCAGAATGCTTCTTTAAGGTCATACAAGAGTGTGTCAGGGCTGCAAAGCAAACAAGGTGGCTCGAGTTCTAACGTATGAGAACAACGATGTCTCCTGAAATCCTCTGCCCCTTATTTCCTGCAATATTTCAGACATTCTTTATTACTAACTAAGGACTGAAGATGACTGATACTTCTGCTACTCCTACCCTACTGTTACAAAGATAGTTCTCCCTTTACCCACAGACTATTATACATATAAAATACATACACAATATATAAACCACTCTATTTGATACATATAAAGGCCTATTTTATATATATTAAAATAAACTAATATATAAATACATATATGCAAAACTTTTAGTCAAGATTCGGCTATCACATTAGTCTTAAATAATTCTGAAATTCTGTAACTGGATGCTTTAAATTTTTCACTTGGCTTGAAGATGCTGGATTTCTACATTATTTTTAATCATAAGTTCTAGATTATCTTTAAATGCGGTAAAGCTCAATAGTTTAAATTTAATTAAATCAAATTAAACTAGAATAGTTGTGGGTTTAGACTGGCTACTTTGCACAACATGCTAAGAAACTCATGAAACCTATGTCAACTCACATAAACTTCCATCAGAAGTAACGTTTTAATATTAGGGTACTTATATAGATCTATCATCACTTGATATTTAGATTAACCAGCAAGATTCAAAATGAATATTCCTGAATATAGTTCTGTTTTGTAATACATCCATGACGGGTTGAATGGGAGCCAAAAAAAAGCAGGTCTTACAGACCTTCACTATCTTTCTGCCATATACAGCTGAGCTACATAAATATGTACATACACACACATATACAGGTTATACTTGCTTTGTTCAAAACCTGAAACAGACTCTTATAACAGTCATATCAGACCATATGTGAAAACACAGCTCAGACATTTGTACAAATATTTGTATGTATTTCATATATATGTATATCTCTTACAAACTGATCTAGACATGAAAAATGGCTATAATAAAAATTGAAGAAACTGTTGGTTTATCCTTGTATATGTTAAGTTATACTGCAGTCGCTTTTCAGTCTCTGGCTGATGAATCTGTCTTCCCAAACTCCATTAATATCTGCATTAGGCCTTGAGATGAATTGATGTTCTCCTCCTAGCCGAGCCATGTGACCTAATGACTTTGCACTATTTATGCTAAACTGCATTGCAATGGAGCCTTCACAGCTACATCAAATGCTTTTAATAATGACCAAAATGTTTACAAAAGACAGTAAATAATTTTTTTTTTGCCACACTGTACTGATAGAACCGCTGAATTTTGGACTCATTGACCAACAAAGCTTAACTGGAAACATTTTCTATGAGTGTATGTATAAAGTTAACAAAAAATGAATTACTTTATTGTTTAAAAAAAAAAAAAGTAATTATGAAAATATATGTACGCACTTGAAACAGATGTGCTTCACTCCGTAATCTTGCACATAATCAGGTAGCAAACATCATTATAATTAACAAAAAATAGTAAGTCATTTAAATTCCTGACCCCTGCATGAAAGTTGATTTGTTCCCAGAAGTGGGAAAACATTTAGCCTGATCTTTGAAATAAATTCCTAGCTCAGGCCAAGTACATACACCTGCAAAAAATTCAACAAGTAACTATCACAGAATCACAGAATGGTAGGAGTTGGAAGGAACCTCTGTGGGTCATCTAGTCCAACCCCCCTGACGAAGCAGGGTCACCTACAGCAGGCTGCATGGGACCTTGTCTAGGTGGGTTTTGAATATCTCCAGAGAAGGAGACTCCACAACCTCCCTGGGCAGCCTGTTTCAGTGCTCCGTCACCCTCAGAGTGAAGAAGTTCTCTCTCATGTTCAGACGGAACTTCCTATACTTCAGTTTGTGCCCATTGCCCCTTGTCCTGTCTCTGGGCACCACTGAAAAGAGTTTGGCCCCATCCTCCTGACACCCACCCTTAAGATATTTGTAGGCATTTATAAGAACCCCTCACAGCCTTCTCCAGGCTAAACAAGCCCATCCTGCAGGCATCTGCCCAGACTCTGCAGCACACAGCGAGTAACGAATGCCCTGGGTCGACATGAGGAGGGGAACGCGCATTACTCGCATGTCTGCGGGATGCAGGAGCCCAGGCGCTGGCAGGGGTTGCAGGGCGGCCCTGCGAGAGGAGAGGTCGGGGCTGCCGTGGGCCGGACACAGCCGGTTCCAGCTGGCTCCAACCGACCCTGCGCAGGGCACTGCTCGGGGCGGGAGGTAGAGGAGTTAGGAATGAAGAGGTGAAGTTGAGCCTCGGAAAATGGGTGGGGGGAAGCTGTTGGTTCATTGCTTTTGTCTCTGTTTCTCACTACTCAAACCTATTTCAATCAGCAATAGAATTAATGAATTATCCCCAAGTTGAGTCTGTTTTGCCCATGATGGTAACTGGTAAGCAATCTCGCTGTCTTTATCTTGGACCACGAGCTTTTTCATCCCATTTTCTCCCCCCTCTCCCGTTGAGCAGGAGGAGTGAGAGAGCAGCTGGGTGGGCATTTGGCTGCTGGCCAAGACTGGCCCACCACTGTGGGTTCCAGACAGTTTTTTTTAAAAAAGTAAAAGGAAGAAGCAATGCTATCCACAGTATCTACATAGTTTAGGTTCAGTAAGCCCAGCCTGGGTGCAACAATGGCAAAAAGGAGATATGGTAGGAAGAGACAAGGACACCCAATATATTCCCTTCCAAAGAAAAAAGGTCAGAAAGTCAGTATCCCTGCAGTAGGAAGTCAGAGTTGGCAAGAAATACAAGATCACATCACTGAATACTGCTGTACCTTGTGATACCATTTTGCTTGTTGTTGTGTGGTAAATATATTAGTAATGCTGACTTTAGCTTATAATCAGTGTAGCAACATCAGTTTTTCATAAAATCCAATAGATAATTTCAAAACTAACAGATTTATAATATAGATATAATACGGTATTG